AACATTTTTTATCATTTTCACTCGAATGCACGGTTTATACACTTCATCCCATTAAAAAGTGAAATCTTTAAAAAGTTATGGAGGACCGACTTTTGTGTTGGTTTTCTTCCCGCAGATTACAAACTGTCACGTGGTATAGAACATTATCCAACAAAATTATCAATTACTTATATAGACATTCGTAGAGTTTACAGTCGCACACAGACTGAGGTTTCAGCTGCGCAAGAAGCGAAATTCTGAGTTTATAGCCTTTCTTATATATCTATACGATTCCTTCTGCTTTAATCAAATAATCTTTCATTATTTTTGTTACCTCTACACCACTTTTCAGCGCTATGAAAATATATTGAGTTACAAGCTAGCATGTAAAAAATCGCCGACATGCAGTAAGCGACATATTTGATGCATGTGTACAAACGCTCGAATGTACTCTTTGAATACTTTAATGTAAAAGTGTTTCTGTACATTATAGAGCCCTTTTGTTATCCACGCTTATCATTAACATTTTCAGATAAATGATTGTCTTATATGTTTATCTAATATTTTGATGTTTGTTTATACATTGTGTGTTAGCTTAAGATAGATCTATTGACAAGAACTTAAAACCTAAATACATGTATTAATTTTCATCTTGTTATTGTATGTGCGAAAAATCAATTTTTCAAAAAAAAAAACTGAATCCATTTTCAATAGTACGGTCCACTCAACATCTATAAATTGAGTGAGGGGTTGAGAGGGGTAGGGGTGTAAGGTGTTATGTAAAAAGCATTAATTAACTATGAAATAAGTTAAATGAATTTGGCATTAAATGACTACTGAGGAAAAGTTATTATAGGAACATTAATATACAAACATTGTATGTGTCATGAAAAACTTTACATTATTGTGGTAGACCTATTCGAATGGTCACTGAAACTGTACCCAACAAAAGAATGTTTGAAATCGTATCTAGCAAAGTATCTATATCTACTATACATTGTTGTTTAGCTGTTTTATGTACCGTCCGGTTATCTCAATAGAAAGAGCGTTGGGCTGTGAATCGGGTGGTCACTTTGGTTGTGATTCATCATGTAATCCTTTCTATGTTCATTCGCACTGTACCCCTGAGTGCCCTGGCTTGACTTGTACAAAAGTTATCTGTTCCTTGCGAAAGGGAAGGCGTACAGGTTAACTGGTTGACTGTCTGGCAAGGGACGATGCAACTGGTACATTAGTGGTTGAATTGAGCTCTATTAAATTCAATGTGGCTTACTGGCGTCATTTGGAGTGAAAACTACTACCAACAACAACACCATAAGCTGCTTTTAGATTAACGGAGACTGATGATCAAGAAGTGGTAGGTACGTGTACGTACACTATTTCGGCGTTTCCCGATTTTGCCTCATCATGAACTTTGTATTGTTTGTTTATATTGACCTGTGCTGGAGGTTATTCGTTAGTTTCTGCAATTTGTAGGATTTTAATGATAGTGACTGCATGAGATCTCAGTATTTTAATCAATTAATACTGCTCTGGGGCCTTGTGATAAGAACGACGGAATTGTAACCACAAAGTTGCAAGTTCGAATCTCGGACAAAACTTATTTTGTAGTTTTCATAAAATGATTTTTTTTTGTTTCTGTTTCGAGTGTACAAAGTGTGTATATATTTCATTTCTATCTTTTTTTAATTCAATTTCATCATTTTGATAAATATTTTTCATTTTATCAATTTCGTACTCACAATGAGTGACTCGCATTCAGTGCAGCCATATAGCTTGCATCGAACATGCCTCACCCTAGTTTTCCAGCCCCTGTTTTTAACATTGGATTTTTGACGCACAGAAATGTCTACGTTCCCGCGAGGCGCGAAGGGTTTGACATTAACGGAAGATAGATATAGATGGTTGGATGGATGGGAGGACGAATATTGGAGACCGTTTTTTTTTATTTTATTAGCTTAGTTAGAGGCAAAACATATGTTAACTAATGAGATAATTTATCGTGGTCAGAACAAATTAAAATTTTCTGACACAACTAGCCTAATTAATTTGGCGTGAACGGTTTGACCCATTTTACAGACTTTTTTTTTCTTACTGTCAAACCGTTACGCCTAATTTTAACTGTCATTTTTACGCACGGAAAATCTACCGGCAACACTATCGATAGTTTGGACTGATTTTTACTGCTTAAACCTGAAAGTAACTTCAATGTCCTCTAAAAATCAATAGAATATAAATTCTAGTACTAACTTCTCCTAGAAAAAATATTAGATTGTACCTGTCTTAACGCATACATGCGATTTATTTCAAATTTGTACTGTATACACTATCTCCGGCGGACATGTTATGACGTCATCGTAAAAAATCGATTCCGTGAAAGCTGGTAGAAGCAACCAGTGTGTCTAGCAGGTAAGTGTGGGTTACGCATGAAGATTAAACTTCAAAAAAATATCGGGGAAATAAATCTATTCATTATTTTAAATAAATTTGTGCATTATTAAATACTATTGAAAAGTATCAATGTGTTAAACCTAAAATACAATGGTAACAAATAGGCTCCGTACAAGTACTGTTGTTTAATATTTTTTAAATGTTTTAATACATGTACTCAACATTTATCAATAGATGGTTTGCCTTCTTGTTTACTGCTAATGACTGCCGATAAAATACTGACTTCATTTATACATGCATATTTAAATGGCAATTAAGAATGTAAAAGAAATAAAGGAATTCTTTTTCATCTATTGCTGATATATATTATAATACCATATTAAACCTACTGATAAAGTTAAATGTCTTCTTGACATACTTTATTAATTTACTAAAAAAGGAACTTTATTGTGATCCAGCCATATGCTGTGTAACTATAAGGGAAGGGTCACATATTTTAATTGAAATAAATTTTAAGTAGAGGATATTAAAAAAAAGTCATTGAGAAGATAAGAATTTTCAAATGAACAGATTAAGAGACTTATACATGTATAAGGTGTATGTCTTGTTGTTTCATACTGTTTTGGTGACACTTTTGTTTGTGTCCCTTGTTGTTTTCTCGTCTATGGTAAGTATCTTCCCTTTGCCCCTAGTTTTATTTCTTTATTCCGCCCCCTCCCCCTTCCCCGAATTTCCTATCCCCTACCACTGTGCCAGTTTACTTAATGGTCCTATTAATCATTCATTTATTTATTTTCTTTGATTTTGATTTCCTTGTATGTTACCATTATTTCTTTATATTTATCATTTTGTATCATTTTAGTAATAAGCCAGACCGTGCTCTCTCTTGCGCCGTCCTGTTGTTGTTTAGGATCCTCCTGGGTTCCTTGCAAATGGTTCTTGTTCCTGGGTCGTGCGGGGGTTGCGTTCATTGAACGCGTCCTTTCCTTGTTCATCTTGTTTATCATATTTTATACTTGTATACCGAACCGAACCATAACAAACAGATAATGATTATCAATACAAGGTTCGACAAGCAAGCAAAGAAATGTAAAGAAAACAGAAAAAACTTATCCACATATCCGCCCTAAAAAAAAAAAAACACCAAAAAAACGCCTGAAACTGCAAAACCGAAACATAAATACACATGGGTGCCAAAGACGGCTCTGGTAGGTACTTGTGCTCCCTTGCGCCGGTTTCAACAGAATTCATCACTTAAACAAAATAATGTAGAAATTTTAATCAACAACCACAGATGTGTACAAAATACAGCGGTAATCATGGAACTTTCAATGCAACACATTCGAGGTGCCGTTCAATGAAAAGCGGGAACTAGATAACATGGAATTTTAAATGGATATAGGTTTTGGTGTCATTTTGCGACAGTCATTCTAACAGACGACTACAGTAATCTAATCAGACTATTTCTCCCATCTGTCTTACATTGTTATGCTATTCTACGTCTTAAATAAGGGTCACTAAATTTCCGCTTGCTGCGTTTTTATCATAAACCCCGTCATATCTGTTCGACAATTGTATTTTACTGAGGACTGTCTGAAATTCCATTTTATAGTTTGAAATTTTAAGATTTTTTCTCAGAACTTCAAGTTATTTTTGGTTGTTTTGAACTTCTTCCCCTACACAACTGTCCTCAATTTTTTTAAAGATTATAAACTAGAAATTGATAGGGAATTTAATATAAATTGAAATTCTTCTTTGCTTCATCATGTATAGTATACTTATAATTCATTAAGATGTACCTACAATTACATTGTATTTTCATATGTGCGAAATCATGGCAGGGTTATAAAATAAAAAGGCAGTTCAGAAATTTCACCTAATGATCACAGATGTTAACAAATCCGACATTACAATTTCTAATTTGACAATTTAAATGGACTTTTAAAATGCAGTATGATCTGACGTCGGACATCTAAGTAAGGTTATCAGAATATCCTTTTCACATTTTATTTTTAATGCTGAAATATTCTTGTGTGAAAAAAAAAGTTATTCCTGCATAATTCATAATAAATAACTTAAACAAATTATATTATATAGCTTGACAAATACAATCGATTGCCGCCGATACCTGTGTTACACCATGGAAATTTTACAATTTTACCCTGTTTTACCCTGTCACCGCTTGCGTCATTTTCCAATATGGCCGCTTACAATAATTTTCAACGATTTAAAAAGTTAAAGTGGAATATTTAGACTTGTGTTCGACTTTAAAGTATGATAACTTGGAACCTTGCATAAAAAACGGTTCTCTTTCAGGTAATGTAGACCGTTTCTTTGAAACTTATTTAGTTTTCGCTCCCAACAACTTCTAATTGGCAAGCGTCCGTGCATAATATGGCAGTTCGTGGTTGGACTTGGAAAAAGACAGCGCCCGTCCAAAATTATCTCGGTGTCTCTTTGACAAGTCTAATTAGTTGGACTATGACACAACGAGATTGCTAATATAATATATTTATAGCCTAAATTCACATGGATAGCGTTGATGTACAAAGTTCAAGGCTGTATTTTTCTCAACCTAGATATTGGAATCCAGAATTTAAGATATAAAGGACGAAAATTAAGTGGGCCGACACTAACAACCCGTGCTACCGGACTCCGGATACAGTATTATAGACCTATCTTTTACGACAACCAAAAACGACACACCAAACTATTATTTTTATTTTATATTTTCGAGAGACAAGCTAGACTTATTGTATCAACTGTTTTCATTGGTAACGGATGCTTGATAATTCTTTTCTTTTACAAATCCTACCAGAATTCATCATAGCATATACATTATCATATTTTAGGTACTGTCCATCTTGCCATCTGAAAAAAATAACTGAAATTCAGCTGTTCATTTTTATGATTTTGGTTCAGTGTCATGACTTTGTTTACGCTACGGTCAGTAAGTGACATGCACAAAATTCCCAGGGAAAGGTAACTGTATCAGTTACACTGTATCATTCATATAGCTTTAGCAAGAAACTTATCAGTGTGCTAATTTGTGCAATATCTCTTGCTTTCTTTTTGTAGTACTTTCCCTAGGGAATAGCTCATCAATCCATGCACTGAAAATTGGAGCTTTCCTCTCCTATGTCATCATATTGAAACCATAGCCAAATAAATAAAATGTGAACGGTTTGACCCATTTAACAAAACTGTTTTTTTTTTAGGAAGTGGCTAGCCGTACGGGCCCGTACGGCTAGCCAAAAGTTCTAGCCGTACGTGAGTCACGTACGACTAGCCTGGACACACTGTATTGGCTAGCCGTACGGCACTTTTCAAAATTATATGGAAGTCGAAAATGCATATGTTATTTTGTGTCTTTAAACAACGATTTTAATCAAATCTCCGCATTTGTCCTAGTAAGTTCACTTTAATAAAGATACTCTGCAATTTTGCACACACAAAAATGAATACGAGTAAGCGTTGTATAATCTATCTTAATAAAATTAAGTGTCAAAGTTGGATGTTATAACGTCCTTAATTTTCATGCTCATGATTGTATGAAAGATGAATTGTTCAAGCTGTTAATTAAGCACATGGATCGAATAAATAATGATCGGAGGGGAATAAATAAATAAATAAAAAAGGAATATTAAAAAAAAAGTGAAAAGGAAAAATAATTTAATAATGCAAACTTTTCTTAATAATGGACGATGGACAAACTTCTATACCGTCGGTAATTGGCGCAATTATCAGAGCCCAACAACAGTTATTTTCGGTTTATTTTACTGTAGCCAACACGTCGATTAATCTCTAAAAAGCAACCATTCTTGACTAAAATCATCGCTTAAAGTCATTATCAACATATGCACTTAATTTCGCCTTCCATATATTTTTGAAAAGTGCCGTACGGCTAGCCAGTACAGTGTGTCCTGGCTAGTCGTACGTGACTCACGTACGGCTAGTACTTTTGGCTAGCAGTACGGGCCCATACGGCTAGCCACTTCCTTTTTTTTACTTTTAAACTTTCATGCCGAATTTTAACTGTCATTCTTATGCACAGAAAATTTATAAATTGGCATCACTGTGGCTTGTTTGAATTCATTTAAAAGGTTTTAATCAGGAAACATCTTTCAGTTCTTCAAAAAATCATTAGAATATTTCGTAATAGATCTATATCTCGATTAAAATTTATTCAATGACAGCTCTTCTAACATATACAAGGGAATTTTTTAAATTGGCATTATTAACTATTTCTTCAGTGGACATGTTAAATGAAGTCATCGTTAAAAAATCAATATGTGATAACTTTTAATTTATAAATGAATATGGTTGATCCAATCTTACCAGTCTCTGTAGATGGGTAAAGACAATATAAACATTTTTAAATTTATATTTTACTGAAACAATTGAAATGACTGCTTTAAAATTGAGAGAGACCAATAAAAAGATATGTGTACAGAGTTCCAAATAATTTTATGACACTGGGGGTAATTACTTTTTCAGAATGTGGGGGTAATTTTAAATATATATATCATAAATCAGATTTATTAAATCTACAGAGTAAGATTAAAGGACTTATTCTTTTTTTAATGTACCATACTTTTATTACACACCATTCTCTAACTCAGTTTATTACATGTACATGTATCTTTCTCTTTACATACATTTCAAAACTATGTACTGTTTTTTTCTTAGTCACTTAGTCTGGTCCATTTAATCTCTACAAGTCTAAAATTGCATTCAACTGATTTAGTGGTATTGCGGACAGAATAAAAAAATGTACCACACCTTTGTAAAAAATAATTTGATTCTTTGAAAATATCTTTGGCAATTAAGGGGAAAATATAAAATAAATATCTTTTATACATTCCCTGAAAGACCATTTAAAATTTATCAGATTTTCAGCATGAATTTCACTTCAGTTGAAAACTTGAAAGAAAAATACTTCATGTCTCTTTGACATTTGTGATTAGTTTGACTAGGTTTCTGAAATATTTTTGCACCTATAAGTTGGGGCCTGAAATTCACTTGTTCATTTTGAAGAAATAGTTGGCAGTTTTTTAAAGATGGAAAAAGGGTCAGTTACAAGTTTTATACCAGACGAAAACTTGTTGAATAGTCTATTAACACAAAGCAGAGTTAATGGATTTTCAAAACAAAAGTCCTGGGACTCCCAAGCCTGAAAAAGTTGGGAGTCCCAGATACTTTGTAAACTTTACAATAGCAACTGAATGTGCACAATAAAACATGTATTTACTCTAACAATGAACAATTGCTTTAATTTTACCAAGCAAGGAGCTTGCTTTCCAATAACAGGTGATTCTAGGGAGAGGCTTCCCATGTGGTAAAATAATTGGTTAGTGAAAAGTGTATTTACACATAGTTAAAGTTTATTGTTTATTTAAAACAAAACTTTAAGATAAGATGAAATGTGCCAGATTGTAAAGGGATAGAAATACAAATGTATCGTCATTCCCCCTAACTTCGTGACTACCGGAAGTTCGTGACTTTTTTGTAAACGAATCCAGTGAAATCACGCGCGCACCTGCGAGATGTAAACAACTGTACGTAACTAGGTCATGTCGTCACAAATGTCATCGTGATATTTATATGCCAAAATGCGCTTTAAACAGGTAAAAACCAACCTTTATACACATACCAGTAGTAAAAATGTATTTTCTGTTATTCCCAAAAATGTCCTCTCTTAAAAAGTATTTTTTTCCATGAAAAATAACATTTCAAGTTTTAAAAAGTTATCCGTCTGCTGTATTTACATTTAGATTTGACAGCCTCGTTTTGAAAAAATGTTTACTCTAAGGCTAACTAAAAAAATATTGATCAATTGTACCCCATGTCTCTTATCAACAAGCATAAAAATTAAGTGTTTTTTTTTCTTGTTGTTGTAGGCAAAGCCTGTGCATTTGAAGGCCAAGTACAGATCATATTCACCCTCAGCCTTGCAAAATGCATACAAGTCTGTTGTTGAAAGTGGAACACCTGTTCTCAGGGCTAGTAAATTATTTGGGGTGCCTCAACAAACTTTAAGAGACAGGGTGTTAGGAAAGATAGACCCTGAATGTATCACTACTGGAAGAGAACCTGTTTTGAATATGTTTGAAGAGGCCAAAATTGTACAGCATATTAAAACTATGGCTAATTATGGTTATGGTTACACCATGCAAGAGTGTGTAGACATTGCAACTGAGTATGCAGTTAGTGTTGGTAAAAGAACCAGAGACAATCCATTGACATTAAGGTGGATGGATGGATTTCGTAAACGTTGGCCGGAAGTGAAAGTTTCAAATCCAAGAAGTATTGAACATGTATTCTGTTGTAAGAGTTGTTTCTTGGGGGCTCACAAACTCACTTGTGAAACTGACAAAATCTACTTGTCTGCCTGAAAAAAGTCTCCAGTTATGTATACTAGGATTTCCCCACGCCTATCTGAGTACATTTATATTGAAAATAATAACTGTTAGCTGAAAAAAGTACTTGTCTTGAGACTCTTTCATTATTTTTTTTAACTTTTCAGAAAATTGTTTATTTTTGTGTTAAATCCAAAAAACAAATGGTACTGAAATGTAATTCTTTTTATTAATTGTAAATAAGAAAGAAATTTGGCATATGATAGTTAACAGTGAAGATTTGAAACATAATATTTGTATGATATTAATTTTGTCAGGTTAATTTCACCTGCTAATAATATTATCTGATAAATTCTTTCAGAACATTTTGGTGTCTGTGGTATTGAAACTTATATACATCATACATGTTTGTTTACATCTCATTTCACATTTTATAGTTATATATAACAGGGTCATCTGTATCAGGGTTCATGAAAATAAATAAAGCCTAAGACAATCAGAAATGTTTTATAAGATAAACTTGAATGAACAAATATTTTAACATAAATTTATATTATGCATTTGCATTACTGTATGTTAAGGGATTTCCTCAGAATTATTTTGAAGCATTATAATTTTCTTAAGGATAATGGCCAAAGTGTGCACCACATTTCTATGATGGAAATATTTACAAACTTGAAATTGAAGTGCAAGTGCACTGATATGCCATATGTGCCAATAGGAATTCCTGTATAACATGTTGATAAGATGGGCTTATTGTAGTCTGAAGTAGTAAATTTGAGCCGCGCCATGACAAAACCAACATAGTGGGTTTGTGACCAGCATGAATCCAGACCAGCCTGCGCATCAGTGCAGTCTGATCAGGATACATGCTGTTCGCTATCAGTTTCTCTACATGTAATAGGGTTTGTAAGCGAACAGCATGGATCCTGATCAGACTGCGCGGATGCGCAGGCTGGTCTGGATCCATGCTGGTCGCAAACCCATTATGTTGGTTTTGTCGTGACGCGGCTCATTTATGTTTTACTGGAATATTACAGGACAAGATGGATGATAGCCCTGTCATAGATAAAGATGATGAAGGTTTTGCTGACTGTGACAGTCCGGAAGATGATACCATGGAAACCAATCTTGCTGCTGAGGGAGATGGTGACTATATATTTCTTAAATTTTACCATTTTTAGCTCATCTTATTTTCAAGGAAAAGATGGAACAACTTCGATGTTGTCATCTAAATAATGGAAAAAAATTATGTTTTTAAACAGTAAAATTATGTTGTTTCCATAATGTTATGTTTTGTTTCTCGAAAATTTGTAGCACAGAATGTCTCTATGAATTAATACATATGAATATTGAACAGAATGAAATGTTCCAGAACAAAAAACATGTATTATGCTGTTACTGGTATTTTATAGTATGTTTTTTACTGTTTAGCAATGATTTTTGTACGCAACATTCGCTGTAAAGAAAATATACAAACATTTTTCTTTCATACATGCATTTTGGAAGTATTCTATATCACAATTCAAATAATGATTTTTTGCAACAGATATATAATAATTATAGCTTTATACACTTTATAATGCATATTTTTGGTTGTAATTTTTACAGATGAAGTATTGAATGGTCCACGAGCGACCGTGTATTACCGTGTGCCAATATCCCCAACAGAGAAGGAACAACAAGGTGTAGACATATCTAAAGAGGAAATTGAGGAGATGAAAAAAAGTGAACCATATCAGAAAAAAATATCTACATGTCATTTGTATGTATTATATAGGGATAATTATTAATAGATTATAACTTAAATAAGTGTACATTGCATAATGAGTTTAATAAACAACTTAAATTCAATCAAGACTGACATTAGTTCAGTAAATTATGTTATGAAGCTACAAGAATGTGCATGTAATAATCTATTTATCACATACTGTAAAATAGAAAAGTTTACAGTAAAATATGATCATTGTATCCATTGATACACTTATACTGTAACACTAACATTTATACTCTGTTAATGGAAATCAACTCAATGCCAGAATATAGTCAGGGCCATATTAATGAGTAAGAAAAGTGGCAATGGCATGCAGGAAACAGATTTGCTATTTTTGTATTTTTTTCATGAATTTATCATTTATTCTAACACGACCCGCATTTTTCCCTATTGAACATAGAAGAACAGAAAGTGTGTGTTATTATGCAACAGATGCACAGTTTGACGTTCTATATTTAGACACGTGACGTAATCATTATACACGTGACGTAACCACTAAATATCCGACGTGCTGAAAATAAATTCGGAAACAAATCAGGCACAATTTTGCTTAACTATCAAGTACCGCAACATTTATTTGTTAATGTCGTGTTAGAATCGAAATAATATATCCAAATCAGTGATTTTATCGTTTGATAACATCACTGTTTATCATTCGGATGCGCATCATCATATCACTCGGGCTACGCCCTCGTGATATAATTCGTCGCATCCGAACTCCAAACAGTGAAGTTATTGAGCGATAAAATCACTGTTTGGGATATATTATTTCTTAAATATTGAGAGATAATCTTTTTGATCACATAAATCACGGTGCATGAGTGTGTTATGTCTTCTACAAATTAACTCTAATTTATGATTATAAAGTTTATTCAACTAATCCCATCACAGATAAGACAAAGATGATGTCATCTCCAAGTGACGTCGTCAACATCAAGTAAAGCTAGCATTTAACAAGTAAAGCTAGCATTGTCAATATCACAAAGTGTAATCAACCCATTTAATAAAAACGATATTACACTAATGTAATAACACTTTGATGTAACATCATTTGAATTATATATAAAGATCATGTGAAAGCGCGCTAATGTTAGAGTTTCACTCCAGGATCGCCAACAAAAGAAGTCTCTTTTTAACTAATAAACCATTCTAATTTTAATTATGTGATAAATAGAGAATATTATATTCTTGTAGATTTCCAACTAAATTTATTGAACTCATTGAATAAAACAATATTAAGCCAGAGGCTCACATAGTATGATTTTATTCCAGTCTTAAAATATTTATTATTAAATCTACACTCATTCAATATCCTCTATTTCAATTCCTCATGCACAATTGTAAGATGGTTATATACATGTAATTTGTCACAGAAATATTTACTGATTGAAGAGAAAATTTGTAATTAGCCAGAGAGCTGAGTTGGAAGCAATGCTAAATTTATTGGGAGCAATGCTAAATTTATTCCAAGCTTCTTGGGTTTGAAAATAAGTCTGGTTGCACATTTTTCTCACCCTTGGACAAATTATTTTGCATTTTTCAAGCAGACAGTAAGCTTGATTTATCAATCTTTGTATATGTCAATGGTCCTGTGTTAAAAGTTGCTGACATACCAATTCATATAAGAAGACTGTCTATTATATCGGAGTAAAATCTGCTTCTGAATGGTGCTATACTTTAAGATGTCACAGTTGTCAATAAAAAGTCACCTAAAAAAAGATATATAGGCAGACTGATACTTAAATTGCTGAAGTTTGTTTCTTTTCTGATTTCTTTAGAATAGTTGTCCTATTATAATTGCTATAAGAGATGTGTTTTTATTTTAATAGATGTAAACAATGTTGGTTTGAGAACCGTTTTTCTAAACATTGCCCAGAATGTGGCGGATACAGTCTGCAGCGACCTTGTGTTGTTTGTTCCGGTCAATGTGATCAAATGTGGAGGAGGAATATTGCCAAGGTAACCAAACAATTTTAACATGAATAACCTGACTGGCATTTTGATTAAAATGTGGTCGGAAGGTTGGCAAATTACAATATAAATGGTGGAAACTGGTTGTATCATGAAACAAATACAGTTTTCTTGGTTTAAATGTAAACACATGTAAATAATGTAGTATTGACTAACATTAACTGGTTAAATTCAATATTGACTACCAGCTGGCCAATACTCATATTGATATTCATACTGATATTACAGTGTGTTCACTAGCCATGAAACCCTGAGGGTCATTTTGATTACATTTTACTGACTTCAAGTCCAAATCCTCATGATTTTAACAAAATTTGACCCTCCAGTTAAAATCTTGAGGGTCAAATCTAGTCAGATTAAAGTAAAATTTAACGTCAAACAAATTGCAACACAAGCTTTTTTTACATTTTTAGTTTGTTATACACATCATATAAAACAGGTAAAAACCCTAAAAAAATCTAACCATGGCAAACCAGTAAAAAAAGCAATTCAAATTTTGCATTTGTTTCGAGTTTTTATAAGGCTCTGCATGTACACCATACACAGAGTTTTATACTGTAACCGGTGTCGAGGTAAACAAAAGTTATGAGGCCGCGCGATTTAAATATATCAAAATTTACACATTTACTACTTGGAGTTGGATTTAGAAGCTGTTGTGCAAAGTATGTATAAATTTTTATATTATATTTACTTGTTTTTACAACTTTTAGCCTCGTACATGCCCAAATATCAAATACAATGAATGAATTGTAATGGGTTTTCGCGTGTATATAAATCAGCGATTGTCGTTTAAAACAGTAAAGATTTTGCAATTTTCATGAGATATAAATAATCATTAGCCTATATATTAACATCCCTTTTGGTAATAAGATGTTTATGAAGTAGGAAAAATAAAAATAAACAAATTTAAGTTTATCCTGGGTAGCTTCAAAATGTTTGGGTAAACAATGCACAAAATATAGAATAAATTATTATTAATTTAAGAATCATAAAAGCATGATATTTATTAACAGATCATTTGTTTTTGGTATAAAAATGTCATTGTGTATGATAGCTACTATGTTTTCATTTTAATAACATTTGGAAGATAAGAATTGAAAGGTAATACTGGGTGTGATACGAGTAAATTATCTTTTTTACATACTAGTGATATATGAGATGTCAGGGGAGTCAAAAACAGATACATAATTTACAATGATTATGTAATTTCAAAATCGTGATTCCAAAAAAGGGAGAAAACTTATTTTACAGTCACAGTAAGCAGTTCAAATTGTTGTTGAGCTCCATGGTTTAACCAGAGACATAGATAACATGTTATCTGTGTCTCTGGTTTAACTTAATTGTGCTACAAATATTGATGAGGAGCTATATTCAGAGTTAACTGTTGCTTTGCCAGTGGTAATAGATCCCCATTTTGAGTGTTAAATTCGTTGTACAATTTTACAAACACATGAGATAAGATAGTTTCAATACAAACGTAATGAATCAGAGATGTTTGTCCTAATATAGATATCTGTATGTCCATCTACACCGTCTGTCTTTCTGTTTAAAAACATATATCTGCCTTTCTGTCCGTCTGGCTCTCTGTTTTTTGTCTTTACCAAAAAATGAAATTTGATAGTTGTAAAACTTGATTCTGAGATACTGTTAACATCTGCTTATCTTTAATAGGGTTTGTCTATCTGTTTGTTTTCCTTTCCTTATGCTTTTCGTCCTATATTTATGAAAACTACTGCATATGGTCTGTGAATCATATTGAAAGTATTAGCCTAAACAAACAGATAACTCAATTATATGAAGACAGTGATTGATAAATAGTTTGGGTGCTTTTTTTGATAAGCCAAAAATGAAAGCCCTGTCATACCTAGAACCATGTGATCACAGGGGAAATGTAATTCTGTTTCTCTCGTCAATAACAGTTACAGATGTAATTTAAATATCTGGTAAAAAAGTGATCCCTCAGATGCATTAAAAAGCAAATTTACATGAAAATTGCAGAGCCGGTTTGATTGAGTCTGTATATGACGGATAATGAAAAAGTGCAACATCCCTCATGCCCCCTAGCACCGGATTGAGCGGAACTAAATTCTCAACACTTTAAAGTGCTGGATTCAATGATCCCGAAAGACCAGAAAAAGATAACAATACTGAAGTGAAGTACGGGCCAACTTTTTACGGCTGCCACACAGCACTTCACATCTATAAATATCTGGTAAAATTAGTGATCCCTCGGAAGCCTTAAAAACAGCAAATTTACTGAAGATTACAGGCATGGTTTGATTGAGTCTGTGATCATGAAAGCTGTATTTGACGTTGAACATACGTTTTGCTCTACAGTGCACCCAAATTTATGCATTTCTCTGAAGAGGACTCCACTTTTGGGGTAAAATTTATTTGATGAATAGTATTATTTTTTTAAGACCAGACAGTGTTTTTTTTGTAATCTCGATTTAATTCCATTTTAGATGACTGGATGTAAAGCCGAAATGATAGAAAAGAGTATTGTTATCATTACGACGAGAAGAGAAAACTGCAAGAGACCATAATATGATTAGAAGTTCAGAAACAAGAAAAAAATGTTGAACGTATATTTATTTAAGACAATAACTGTGTAAGTTGCAGAAAGAACATAAATTTCGTGGCGATGTTGTCAGTAAAGTTGAAACCTTCGACTTTCATGTTTAAGTAAAACAAGACACTTTAAGCGTGAAGTAAGGTCCTAGGAAGAATCAAAGGCGTAAATGGCCTCCTGACAGCTAAAATACGTTACCACCATTGTTGTAACAGTAACAGTAATTTCAAGACGTTCTTTTTATGAAAAGTGCAAACACACGACTTGTAAATCTAGTGAAAAGACCATCGAAAACAGCAGGAGAAAGCTTTTTAACCGCTATGCAATACTTTGAAAGTTATTGAAAGGATAACTTTTTTTTTAATGTGACTAGGTGCAGTCGAACTAATGAGCATTATGAGAGATATAGAGATGTGGAGATCACTTTAAATATCTCTATATATAATAAGGAAGAAAACATAAATAGGTTAAACAAGATGTGATGGCATTCAATTTCAAAGGTGAAATATTTTTTAAAGCAACCTAAATGATACATGACATGAAATTGGCATTTTGAACATATAAAATTCTAATTTTGAAACATTACTAAAGACATAACTACAGCTCATTTTCAGCATTTATTCTTCACTAACTTAAGTGTTGTGCAATATAGATAGTTGGACCATCCTGGCAATGATAGATGAAGTTATTTCTACTAAATCATGTTAAAAGTGATAGTTTGCATAACATTTATGGGTAATATTTGGATGGATGAGACTTTGGTAACGTACAAATATGTTAAATGACACAGCAAAAGACTAAATAACGAGTTACTTTCAAAAATTCAGTATATTACCAGATGCATTGTTTGTTGTAACTAAGTTTGTTTTCTTTATTTTTATAAATTATTCAAAAATAGTTAAAAAATGCTAGAATAATGTCAATGTGATTGATGTAACGTATGTTACATTTTGCTTAAGTGATTATGTTTCTCTATTATTTATATAAGCTTATGTGATATAAATATTACTTGAACCTCTTTTCAATTGTAAATATTAGGTATTTTTAAGATAATGCAATTTGAACGTTTTGCATTATTATTATGAGTGGGTGGGGTAATAATCTTGTGTGTCACAAGTGAATAAATAATAAAAGAAGAGGCCAAACCTGTTATTATTCATTGCAAATTTTATTTTTATGAACACCAATACATGCTGGCTAAAAAACTACCAATCTATAACAGAGAAAGACAAGACAGTCGCCACATATTACGATATTATATATTACGATTTTTATGCCTGGACAGGTACTTGTTAACTACTTGCCAAAAGTCAAGTTTCCGAAGGTATATTTTTTTAGGGTTTTACTACAAGGTCCATGCATATATATTGATTGCAAAATACTAAAGAAAGCTTGTGTTGCAATTTGTTTGATGTCAAACTACATATACTCATAACTTTAGTGGCCTAATCAGGCCTTTTTGAAATTTGAAGGGTCAAAGAGTCATTTAAAGGATCAAACGGACACCCTGTATTATCAAGGTAAGGAAAAGACTGACCACAGACAAATGATGAGAAAAATCAGTCATGACCACCAGCTGTATTGATGGATTTAATGCAGTATAGGCCATTGCCAATTGATGCTTTTCACATATCATTTTTTACTTCCCCTGACACAATTTTGTGGGTTATTTATATATGCCAAAGGTAAAATAAAAATCTATCATAATACTATCATCTTCATGTAAACTGATATTTTTTTGAAATATTGGTGCAATTATAGTACTTTCCTTCATATGTATAAAATAATTGGACATTTCAACTTAATCAGCGGTATTTTGACTTTTCATATTTTGCCTATCATATATAAAATATTGACCCTCAAAATGGTTGCCACTTTTGGCAAGGGAGGTAAACATCTTAAATTGTGACTTATCTATACTAATGTTGATAATTTAAATCATTAACATTTGGTAGTAAATGCTTCATTGTAATTTTGACTGGTTAAAAATGGAGATAGTATTGACTATCAACAAATTGTTAAAACGTTTACAAAATCATGGGCTCAAAATTTTTACAAAATCACTCACTCAAAACTTCTATAAAATCACTTGCTGATTTATTTCAGACACACACATTCCACAAAGCTCACTGGGAAGGCCGTTGTGATTTACCTTTAGATATTCAGCAGGCTTTAATGCAGCAGTCGGAGACAAGTCAGAGTGAGAGAACTATATCTGACGGCCTGCAGTGTCTCTCTACAACATAATTACATACACCAGTACAATAATGTGATCTTATTTAATGAAATGAACATTCCTCATGGTCGAAGAGTGAGAGGAAATTTTGTTTATCTCTGTTAAGGTCTGCAATAGAATACTGTTTGTTTGCCGTTTCGGACCAACTTGCCCAAAAATGGGCTTTGTTTGTGAATTCTTGTTTTGTTTCTATGCGAAGATAATTTAAAAAAAGAACTTTAAAAGTAAAACTTTTGTTTGTATTAGTAATACCATTAAAAATAGACATTCAAATTGAAATTCAGTAGTAAAATCAAAATTGTATTTGTGTATGTATTTTCCAGCATTAAGATAGTGATATTTTAGATTATATTTGAGTACTGGTTTTCATATTATACATAATGTCTGACAGAAAAAAAAGAAGAAAAATTTACCTACCAACCTAAATCCAAAAAGTATGAGTTTGAAATGGCAAACAAATATTTCTTTAATGGTTGCCTAATGTTTAGGAAAATATGTTACAAAAAAGGAAAAAAGGTCTGCTGTGCAGAATGTTATAAATAGGATAGGGCTGTATGTACTGAGATGTGGTTCTGAATTATATTCTGCTTCATGATTTATAATAATGCATTGTTGAATTTTTGTTTTAACTTGAATATAGGGTATTAGTACCGTTAGAACCACTGTTCATTGTCTATAGGCATGGTTTTGATAAATAATTAATATATGGTTTTTACAATGTCCATAAGGTTGGTCAATGAGTCCGGTTTTGTTTAACAAAATATACATGCTTTTTATGGTTTTCACATGTGTATCAGCCTGGTTTTTGTGTCTAGATATATATGGTTCTTTCACTGTTATGTGTGGCTATTTGCCTGGTTTTGTGCCAGAAATATATGGTGAATGCATTGTTCATTTGTCAACCAGCCTGGTATTGTTAAACAATAAATATATGGCCATGTGTGTGTCAGCAAGGTTTGATTGTTGAAACGTTGAAAACTTGGACTAAATTGACATATCTCATTTTTAGCGTTTAATTATTTCTTTGAATTGAAGATAGTACGAAAAAGATATCCTATTCAATTTTCATGCAGTAACTTCTTCTGACAAATTTCTATATTCATGTTTGCTTGTTTTTCTGGATATTTTTACACCAATTTTAACACATTTTTGGCCATATGCCTGCGGGTGATCCAGCCACCTGGCTTTCCAGGATAACTAACCAGTGGTTAACTCATTATCAATTTCTTCTCATGTGACCAGCTACATGTGTAGGTGGATATATTCTCTTATTTTTTTTTATATTTTTTTTTGAATGTCATTCTTCAAATTCCAGAAAACATTACATTGTTTAATGTCTGTTATTTGCCAAACATCCATTTTACTTAAATGATGATAATACTCAAAGTTTTGTGTCAAGAAATTGAAGCATATCCATAATCAAGAACTATTGACAATATCATTGTTACCACTTGTGCCTATCATTGGTATATACATTCATGTTTGAGTACTACAGAGTTACGGCCCTTAAATTTTAGTTAGCTATCACAAATTTATTCATGCTTGGTTATCAAACAAATTCTTACAAACTAATATAGATCATATATGAGCCGCGTCATGACAAAACCAACATAGTGCGTTTGCGACCAGCATGGATCCAGACCAGACTGCTTACAAACCCTATTACAAGTAGAGTAACTGACAGCGAACAGCATGAATCCTGATCAGACTGCGCGGATGCGCAGGCTGGTCTGGATCCATGATGGTCGCAAACCCATTATGTTGGTTTTGTCGTGACGCGGCTCATATGAGTCTTCTTCCTGGAACTACGTGTTCCTCTGTGTCATATCAGTAATAGACCAGTGTCGTGACACCAGTTTGGCCTAAATTCGGGGTTTCCAGGTTGAGGGGCAAAATCCTTATAAACTACGACACAACTCCTCTAATATTGTCAAGCACACATTTTTTTATGATGGAAATAATGGCGATTTCTGGATTTTTTTTCAACAAATACATTGAGATGCTTTGAACAAAACTTTAGATTATTCAAATGCTTGCTGTTTTGTGTCATTTTTCAATTTGATGTGTGACATGGTCAGGAGTTTCATGTTGTTGAAGCAGCTTATGTATTGTTAAAGCAGTTTTGTATATCTTATCTTTGGCATAAATCCTCAGTAACGCAAGTGTGGTGACTTGTATTGTTTCTGTTACTTACTTTTGTTTAAACAATATTTTTATTTTCAAAAATAAGAGAAAAGAAAAAAAAAATCTGGAGGCAGTTGCGTAAATAAGAGTTGTTATGTATTTTGTTGCTGCAACAGTTTGAATACATTCAAGTCATTTATGATAATTATTGATAACTAGAATAGATGGGAATTAAATTGAACTATTTATGGCAATTCCTCTTGAAATTCCTGCTTTAATTGTGTGAATAAATAGGATACAGTTACATTTTTTTCTATATATTATGCATAATGATGTATGTGCTCCATTTACGTACATGTATGTATAATATGGAATTCATGGTTTCTATGTGTATATGATTGAATATATTAAATTTTTTTACTAAGCATTCTAGGAAGTTGTCTGCGTTTAAAACATGATTTTGTTTGCTTTATTTATACATATAAGTATATATGTATGTATCATAGTTAAATTGTCCAAATTTCATAATTTTCACCATTTAAATTTTTTTCATAGATTTGTTTCCTACTTAAATAATTAATATTAATTGAATTTAGTTAATATAATATTAATAGGTAGATAAATGTTGTTGTATGTACATGTAAATTGTAGCATGATTTATTATGAAATATCTATGGTTTATATAAGTATTTCATGGTGGTGTACAAAGTACAGTTTCTGCAGATCAGCTCTTTTAAGATCAATTACCTGTTTACAACAACAGTATCAATTCTTGCCAACTTAAGACATCACATTAATAAATTTAAACACACTAGAGCAACATCCAAAATCTTTGTCTCCTAAACTACAGAGGTTGTACTAAATATATATACATGTATGTGTGGGATTAAAAGTAGTGATGTGGCCCTGTGTAAGATGTGATTTAGAATTGAATTCACATAAACTCTTTGCTGCCAAAGGATTTATTATATAACTTGTGAGTATTGGCTGGGGATATGTCTAAGATTATTATGGCATAGTGTAGAATCTTATTGTTTCACTACATCTGTGTGATCAAAACCTGACACAATACTACTTAATTGCTTGGGGCTAAATGCTACTGAATTATTTGAGGTTAAAGCCTACTTAATTATTGTGAGAAGAAAATGCTACTTAGATATTTGAGTAGTAAATGCTACTTGAATGTTCTGAGGAGAAAATGCTATCTATATCCTTTGAAAAAAAGATGCTATAACATTATTTTGAGAAAAAAAAATGCTACTCAATTATTTTGATGTTTTAATGGAAATAATTTGCTCTAAAAGGAAGTGCTACTTTATTATAATGAAGAAATATGCTGTTTTATTTGGAGAGATGGTGCATAATTAGATTAAAAAAATAAATGCAACTGATTTATCTTGATGTGAAATTATGCTTACATCTTTTATGCTACTTAATTAAATACTTATGTTACTCAAATGCATTAACCATTTCACTGGCAAGAGATTGCTTCTTATTTTTCCACTTACAGCCGAGGGCTTGTCTTTAAGGATGGAGGCATCAGGATTTGCAGCCACCTTTTATCCCAAAGTTAATCAAATTGTCACTCCTGTTCTCGCACCATACAACATTGTTTTTGTTCGCCATAAAACCAAACAAAACAAAAAGCTCCCTACTTGTTTTTATATAATTTATTGCCTGTCTGAATATTAAGATGGAAATTTGAAGGTTGTAGTGTGACAAAGTCAGTGAGATTACTTCTTGATAGTATAAACATGTTGAATGTTATGTCCTTGTGATTAATTATCATATTTTGAATACTTCAGTATAAGTATAATCTAATTGCATAATAATATAATGTGTTGTATGATTTTGTTTTTTGTTCTTATAATTTTAGAAATAAATGGAAAGATAGTTTAATAGAAGAAATTAATTAATTGATATACCATCATTTTAGTGCAGTTACGGGTTAACACATAGTAAATTTCAATGGTAGTTAACCCATTATTGTACTAAGATGACAATTTATGTATGTAAATATGTAGGTACTCTAATGTTTTCCATTTCAATAAACTTTTTTTTTTATCTTTTTGTATCCTTTATGAATCAATTTTACATATTGTTACATTAAAAGCTGTAATTTGTAGATTTATGATTCAGTTTTTGCAGAGTCACATCCTGTTATAATTATATTGAACATATCAACTTTAGACTGGGAAAGTCTTTAAGGGTTAAGCCCCTTTTTAAATTGAATAAAACATGCAGAAACTTGAAGGTAGTAAAAAAGAAAATGGGTAATATGGAGTTGGCTTTTGTCAGTTTTAGCTAATTCTGGGTCAGGGGCTTTTGTCAGTTTTAGGTAATTCTGGGTGGGGCTTTTGTCAGTTTTAGGTAATTCTGGGTGGGGCGTTTGTCAGTTTTAGGTAATTTTGGGTGGAAATTTTGTCAAGTTTTTGGTAAATTAGGAGGGGCTTTTGTCAGTTTTAGGTAGATCATGGTGGAGCTATCGTCAGTTTAAGACAATTTTGAGTGGGGCATTTGTCAGTTTTGATTAATGCAAATTTATTCAGAAATGACCTCTTCAGTGGAATGCCACTTTGGCTAAATTTTGATAACTTACATGAACACACACATATCTATATAATATTATGAAAAAATCAACTTTTTCTTTCATGCATGTACTCAGTTTTTCATTTACAGAGAACACTGTTAATTAAAATGTGTCCTGTAAGCTTGGCATTTTGTAATTTTCATTTCTTATTTGTGAAAAGCTTGAACTTTTTTGTCAATTTCTTATCTCTTAAATGATTAAAAGATACATGATTGTATGTGCCAAATAATTGAGTATAATGAATGAAATGAATATGTTATCTTCCAAATTTTAAAATTTGGATTTTTTGTTTGCAGTTATTGTACAAATGTCTTTTATTTTCCTTTTCTGAATATGTTTCAGAAAAAGCTATATATAAGAGACAAAATAAAACATAGGACATCTACAAACACAGTTTTAATAAGCGTTTAATTACAATGGCTTTACTGTTACCACATGCTTCCAGATGAGTAACAAACTAAGAAGAAGAAAAAATATTCACAATTCCAGTTACAGTTTGCTGGTATTATGCTAAATTTGACTTTGTTTAATTTAAATGTCATAATTCTTCCCTGTTATTGACAAGTAATTGCCTATTCTTGCATAATTTGATACATTATATACATTAAACATAATTTTTTTTTTAAATAAGTGCATTAGCTAAGCTTGAATCAATCTGTTGGTACACAAACGTTTTCCAAGTTTGAAGAATTAGAAATTAGTATATCACATGACTTATTCATATGTTTATATTAGAATTGTAAATCTTTGAGACACACCTACCAGGTTATAAACTGCCTGTTTATATTACAATTGTAATTCTTTGAGACACACTGGGTTATGAACTGCCTTGATTTATTTGTATGTAATATAGCTATGATATTGTTGTTTACAAAAGTCCTAACAAAGCTAATGCTTTACAACATTTCTAAATATAGATCTGTTTTTGTATACATTGCATTTGCTAACTTATTTTGTTGTTTATTTATTATGAATAGAGCATATTTTTCATTCATAACATGATGTTTTGTTGTTTTCTTTTTCCTCAATGGTTAGGAAGCTATTCAGATCACTTATGGAATGTCAGTGGTTCTACTCAGGTGCCTGCACGTGATTGTGGTAATGCACAGAGGAGTCCTCCACCAGTAAAGCTTGGAAGTCCCCATATCTTCTGTGTTGGTGCAACTTAAAACCCAACAACGAATTGCCCCTCACTCGATTTGAAACCAAGTGGTTACTAGTCCGACGCGTTTACCACTCGGCCACGCTGCCACTTAAATACATTGATTGTCAGGGGTAAAGTTAAATGGAACAATATGGTTTTAATTAAGTTCCTTCTCTGTGTAGACAAAATTATTCATAACCAATACATATCCAATTCATATTTTATCCATTGTCATCCAAACCCTTAACAATTTTTGGCAGAAAAGAAAACTTGTCTGCTTTGTTGTTTGGCTGGCTGTGAAATGCAAATGTAATTATTTTAGTATATAAAATTTTGATCATTTTGCATAATTTATAGTTACTTCTCTGTAAAATAGAGTGAAATAAGAATCCCTAAAGAAAGTCCAACGCGGCAAAATTGAAAATGTTGCAGGCTCGGTTTGATTGAGCCTGTTCATGGACGGTACTGTCAAGTGCAAACTACCGTCCACGCCCCCTAGCACCGGCTTAAGCAAAATTCAACATTTAACATGACCTGGTAAAATTTTGAATTTTGCAACATCCGCAGATTTGTTCATATGGCGGTCATCAAAAAGTTTGTATTTTTCATTTATTTTAGTATATCTACATCCAGTTATCAAGCGTTTCATATTCAATATATTTATTGCTAAAGCTTACTGTTATATATTGTCATTCCGGCTTATGTACAAATACAATGGCAAACGATCTTGACAAATAGCTTATTGAGAAATGGTTATCTATTTTGCCCAGTTATTATATTTCTATACATCTGTATTGTTTAAAAAATAGGTACAGGTTGCATAGACAGACTAATTGAAACAATTTTGTATACCTAAGACTAAGTTTTAAAAAAATGATCAGAAGCATTCATCTGTATTTATCCCTCTTTATTTATCCCCCTAATGCAATTGTGAAACCCCGAACCGCACATGTGAAAAACCACTGTATTGTCTGTCAGTCCGTCTCCACCATGTCTGCTATGAAAATCATTATAGTAGATGTAACATACGAGTATTTTCATGAAAAATATACCCGCAATCATTGAAATACTTCACAACTACTGACAGGCGTTCTCCCCGAGATGAACGTTGTCATCTTTTTGATCGTTTATTTCTAAATCACTATAATCAACATATTTTCACCACTTAAGGAATCTTTGCCCCAACTAGTATGTTCATGAAAAAAGGATATTCATTTCATGATGCCAATGCCGTGCGTACGGACGGGCAATGACATACCATGATACATTTACGCCCCTAAGTGTTCTGGCGTATAAATCAAAAGTAAGTGAATCTTTCAATTATAGGCTAGACATTTTAGCCAAAAATAAGACCCAGCCTCACAAAAGATATTTGTATATTTGTTATCTACTATATATGTGTTGCTACAGGAAAAAAAATCGAAGTATAAAATGTTAGAAACTTTCACATATAGCAATCATGTGAGTTTTAAATTAGAAAAATCTATGAAAATAAAACCCAGCTACTCTACGCAATAATGGTAATTAACAAAGTAACATATTCATACACAAACAGTCTTTATTTAATCTAAATACATGATTAAAGAAAAGTCTAACTATACATACAAATATTTGCTGTTCTCCTGTGAATTGCATCACATTTTAAGAATAATGTCCGAAATTATTTCAGTTGTATTGAAAACAATGTTAGGTATTCATTTGCTAATATTCATACAAGAAAACGTGTCATTTACAAACGACTTTGTTATGCTGACAGGTCATTTTGTTCCATTTGCACTTGATCTATGAAAATAATAATAATAATAGTAATATCAGTACATACTAGTTAATATTTGTGTAAAGGTTCACAAGACAACTATTACAATCTATATGAAACTATCATTAATAAGCGCCATCATAAATCAATCTAAAAATATGATTAGATTATCATCAAATTAACGAATAATATCTCCATTACACAACTAGAAAATCTGTTTAAAATGTGTTTTATTGCATCTGCTTATTAATAATAAAAGGAATGTTAATGGTATTTTAAAAATGAAACCAAGCATTTTAACACATAAAATATAGGAAGAAATTTAATACTATGCTTGCTCAGGAAATAAATAACAGATTTTAGTGCATTGTTGTAGAATAATACACGATTCGAGATCAAATGCGCAGGAATATAATCACGAAAGGTCTGAGTGATTAATAATAAAGCATTTCAAGAACGATAAATAGTGAAATACTATACTAAAATGCAAGAAAATATATAATCTATTTCTATTCTTACATCATTATGAAAATAAAGAACTGATAAAAAATTGTTGAATTAAACGTACTGAGCGTAGTAGTAATTTGCTGACGTCATTTGGTTAATTGACTTGATATATCAATCTCCTACGCAGTGATCTCCCTTCATCAGTACAGAGATTCTGCAAAGGGAGGTAATCACTGTGAGAAGTTTGGTGATATATGACCCCATAAGACTTATAAAGTTATGAATAAAAACACCGTGTAAATTCGAAAGACAAAATGGCCACCATTTAAAAATTCTAAATTTCAGGGCTGGAGGAATTTGTTTTCAAGCATTATTTCTTTGAACAAAAATGTCCCTTTCTATAAACGAAAGTTTTTATGTTCAGATCATATCCGATTTAGATTAAGACTACAACAAGCAAGAATTATAATTAGCACAGAATATTGTTTATAGGTACTGATAGACATGATATAGAAAAACTGAATAGTTGAACATAGATTTTAAAAGAACAAAATTAAATGAATAAATTATAATAATAATAAAATTTCAATACAATGGTTTTATTAAAGAGTGATCTATGGTTACGTGGATAGCCCATTTAGCAGGTTTGCTTATTTCCAATGGGGTCCTGTTAACCAAATTGATGGAAACAAGATGAAACCAGAGAGACATTCATTTCTTAAATAAAAATAGACAATGAGATAAACTACGAATCAATCTTAGAATTTCTAGGTAGGTTTTCATAATAGATTTAGTAGATGCAAGTATCTTAACACTTATATGCTATATAATCACAGTAGTTTTGCATTTTCACAGAAAAAAGGCACAGGAAAACATAAGATGACTAAAATATAATAAGTTCGCCGTACATATGTCGCCACTCAGTAATATAAAAATCACTTTGATGTTTCGCAGCCCAAATTGAAGCAAGATTGCTTTGAACAGAAGTTTTACATAAAGTTGGATTTGATATACATTTTACATCATCTGGCAAACTTTTCCATTCTTTAATAACATTATAGAAAAAAGTGCCATTACATGTCTTATTACAATGAGGAATTGAACAATTTAACTGAACAAGATTCTAGAGCTTTGCCTAATTTCTGTGAAATAAAATCAGGATCTTGATGAGAAAAAAGTATAGTGCTGTCATCAGCATATAAAATGAGCTTACTTTCATAATCGATACTGGTGATCATATCATTTACATAGCATAAAAAGAGCTAAGGACCTAAAATACTTCCATGAGGAACACCACAATTTACTATTGATGGAGATGAAGAATTCTCTCCAAAATGTACCATTTGTTTTCTGTTATTAAGATAAGATCTTAACCAGTCTGTATTCGTTATTTCCATAAGGTGAAGTTTTCCACAAAGAATATTATGATCAACCGTATCGAATGCCTTTTGCAAAGCTAGCATTATCACTATCAAAAGACAGTAGCATGTTATTCTCTATTTGTAGCTAGCGATAACGTAACGCGCAAAAGTATAACAAATCAGCCACCATATGAACAGCTGTACTTCTGTGAAATAAATAACTTTTTAGGTGTCCGATATAATTTTATATGTATCAAAAACAATGTTGGAAGCTCAATTTCTATTATTCTTACAACAATATATGTCATTTATAATGATTATGAAGACATATTATTCTCTGACGGCCCTGTCTGAACTCCCAATATAAACTTTAAACAATATAAGGAAATTCATGTGAAATCCTATATAACATATGCTTTCAAAAACTAGTTAATATTTCAGTTGCGGTTTAATCAAAATGGCACCCTATGTAAAACTATAATAAATTAATCTAAACATATGATAAAGTAACCATCAAATTAACAATTACATTCATTACAAAAATGTAAAATATGCATAAGTAATAAAACACTAAATGTCTACAGAAAGTACCTATACATGGTCACAATAAACAAATATATTTCTCTCACTCCATCAGTAACGGGTAAAATTTGACTAATAAAAGTGTTTATTTTGCCTTATTTTGTAAAATGCACACACAATATTAAATGGATTGTGACAATTAAAGAGGTTTTCCTTATATTAATAAATTTAAAAATTAAAACCAAAAATATTATCAAAAAAAGTAAAATGTAAAATTACTTCCTTAAAGGCACATAAGCAAGCCCTCATAAACGAAACTATTTTTCATTCTTTAGGAAATGCAAACATGTGTTTTTTAACGTTTAAATAGTGTTTTTATGGAAAATTAGGCGCTGATCACTTGAAGAAAAAAAGCGTTGAATGTGAATTTACTTGTCGTAAAGGTAGAAGAATGTAACAATGTAGTACTTTGCCTTTCATACGAAATACTTAATCACTATAACTATATAAAAAAGTAAAAGAAGCAAACGACTGTTAAGGTTTTAATAAGTAACTTTTTTTGAAACTACACTATTAAAAAGTCAACTTTGTTCAATTTAGGTCAACAAGAAGATATAAGATAGGCTGGTAAGTGAAAGATCAGATTCCATATGTTGATTTTTAATTTAAAATATACAAGTTGAAAATGTAATAAGTAAGTAAGTAAATTTTATTATAGTGACATTGTGTTATGTACAATATAATAAACATACATATAACAAATTACAACACCCGGCCACGTTGGGCCTATAAGTCACTTTAAACTATATACAACATATAACAAATTACAACACCCGGCCACGTTGGGCCTATAAGTCACTTTAAACTATATACAACATATAACAAATTACAACACCCGGCCACGTTGGGCCTATAAGTCACTTTAAACTATGTACAACATATAACAAATTACAACACCCGGCCACGTTGGGCCTATAAGTCACTTTAAACTATATACAACATATAACAAATTACAACACCCGGCCACGTTGGGCCTATAAGTCACTTTAAACTATATACAACATATAACAAATTACAACACCCGGCCATGTTGGGCCTATAAGTCACTTTAAACTATATACAATTCATATAAATGATTTACAATAAAACATTTAAAGCATAGAAAAATTAATCGGAAATACAGTGGTCAATCATCAAAATTCCATATAAACAAGCAAAGCATATCAAAATTTCAAAAGCTATAAATTCTAAACAATGTTAAGATGTTGTTATATTTCTTGTCATTTTCAAATATGTCTGGTGATTTTTACACGATTCAATACACTCAAGTAAATTTTTATTATGTAAAACATCAGGTCATTTGGTCATTTATAAAGATATAACCTTCTTCTTTTCATACTTTCTACAATAAACTTTGCAGCGCTAACATATTGATTTTGTATCACATAACATAGTTTTTGAATATCAGACATATTGTCAAAGTCACTGCTACTCTCTTTACATTTAGAAATCAAATTAACACGTAAATCGTTGTACATAGAGCATTTCAATACAAAGTGAGTTTCATCCTCAACAACATTGTCAGTACAAAGAGTGCATATTCTTTCATCAACACGTAATCCCACGTAACGTCCTGTTTCTAGTTTGAGGCGGAAGAATACCGCATCTTAATTGAAGCTAAATGGGACCTTTCTGCTTGAGTTATAGGAAGACATGAGATATTTTTCTGTTTCATAGTCTTGTTTGAATGTAACATATGTTCTCAGCTTTGCCACATTTGTAACATTGTCAGACCAATTTGATTTGTATAGTAAAAGTAACGAGTCTTCAATATTCTTTAAATCAACCGGAAGTTTGTTGTCATAAAAATGTGACATATTTACTTGTTGTAGAATATACTTAACATCTGAACACCATGTATTTCCAACAGTAATATAATCATACAAAAACACTTTCTTTGTGAGTCTATCATCACCCATATGTACAAGTCTATTCCATAGTCTCAGTATATTAACCCAACGTCTAGATGCTGAGCACAAATCCATCCCATATCACCAGTAATTGCTAGTATCGGAGCAAATCTATGAACACACATAAAATATCTGATTGCTCTATGCTGAGTAATATCTAGTTTCTTGAAGTTTTTGAAACCCCATATTGAAGAACAATAATCAGTTACAGGCACAACACACGAGTGATACATGTAATAAAAACGTTAAAAAATAAACATTGATCAAAATGAAAAATAATCAACCAATACTAATGAAGTAGTAAGTGAAAAATGTAATAAAAACATTGAAAAATGAACAATCTGCTAAAAGGAAAACATACAACCAATACAAACGAAGAAAAAAAAGGAAAATGTAAACATACATTGTATCAACGTAATCAATAATATTGATGTATCCGCAGGGTTATCGAAAGAGCTTTATTTTATTGATGTGTTTAAACCAAAACTAAACAAAAATTGATGACGTCCACATTTTTATACGTTGCGTACATATGTAAACACAAAAACGACAATTGAATTTGTTACTACTGTATCATGTTTATTTGTCCTGATGATATAGAAACCGGTCGGTATTATATTAAATTGAGAAACACCAGTTAATGTCTTTATAGAGTGCGTATTCACTAATTTGTTTCCGAAACGTTGTTGAGTTTTAGGAATCACTTCTGCAGTGATCCTTTTTGCTACATCTCCTATAAATTTTGTCGACCCGTTCATTAGTTTTGTTATACAGTTTATAGATTTGGTCAAACTTGTCATTGATTATGAATGACTTTAGTTGCTGGACTTTTAGCTCATCAAGTATAGCAGTTATTGGCGTTACTATACCTGCATGATCATGAATAAACGTTCCAACTACCATGCCAATGCATCTTAAATCAGATTCTCCCCCAGTATTGTCTTTCATAAACACGAGGGCCCCCGAATCGCCCTCTTTGCAAAAGCCCTTTTTATTTTTTGATTTGATATGGTATTGTTTATACAATGTAGGTTTATCATGTTTCAAGTTATCAAAGAATTGTATTTCTCTAACGACAGAGTTATCAAATTGAATTACTCCATGCGTATTCCTTGTTACTTGACCAAACTTTTGAACGTCCTTGCATCTAGATGGAATACCGCGCTTTCCCCATACCAGGCCAGCCTTAAACGCTGAAATATAAAACAGCAATATCTTAATTATATATCTGAATGGTTGATTATGAAAAAAAAGAAAAAAAAAGAAAAAAAAAAGAAAAGCAAGACCCAATTGAACTGAAAAGCGAGTAAATAGGTTTTTTAATTAAAATTTCATACATTTTTAACTAAAAGGATCGCTTAAACTAAACATGCAACATTAACAAATCTATGAAAAAAAAAAAAAAAAAAAAAAAAAAAAAAAGCAAGACCCAATTGAACTGAAAGCGAGTAAATAGGTTCTTAATTTAAATTTCATACATTTTTAACTAAAAGGATCGCTTAAACTAAGCATGCAACATTAAGAAAGCTAATGTGTTGGATGACCTATAAGGTTTTTGTAGGATCTATGTTATATAGAGAATAATAGGTTGGTGCCGTGGATGGAGAAAGTTTATCTGGTGAGCCGAGGGCAAATCCAATAAATTCCGGGGCAGAGCCAGACAAACTTTCTCCATCCACGGCACCAATCTATTATTCTATTTATCCTGTCACCGTTTTTTTTTACAGAATTTTATTAGGCAAACTACCTTTAATCATACTATCGAAAATGTTTCTATATAAACAAAGAAGGCCCGAAGCGTGCATTATTCTACATTCTAACACTCACGTGATTTTGTCACTATAGACAAAGAAAGAAAAAAACTGGTGTTAAACTGCCAATAAACACTGGTTAGGGACTACTTGAAATGCGCTGTTATGTTTTCACCCTCGATTGAATAGTTTACAAAGCATTTTAAAGCAACAATAAAAAGCATTTTTTTTATATTTTCAGTTCGTATAATGATTTATTTTCATACAATACCGAAATGATATCTCACTGACACTCACGCCACATATAAGATACATATCAGTTAATAAATATTTTGACAAAACGGCGCCAATCCGTAAGCAGCGTAATGACGTCATCCTAAGTAAACAACTCATTCATAAACAAGCTGACGTTATTTCAGGCATACAAGAATGATAAATGGGGCACGATGTAAACACAAAACGACGTAAGTTTTTATTGTTTGAAAACTTGATAAATAACGTTTTTTTCTTATTATTTCTTTTGTTTGATATTTCTAATATCTTCGCAACAGTAGGGTGCGAATATCGAACAGCGTTATACGGAAATCGGCACCGGAAGTTATTTCCGCTTGAAAAATAACATTAGTGATTTTCCTTATTTTATCGTGTTAGAATCGAAATAACATCGGCCTGAGAGGTGTATATCGGCTATTTCGTGGTCAATTCCTACGCATCAAAACTCCAAACCGGTGTTAAATAGCCGATATACACCTCTTAGGCCGATGTTATTTCTTAAACAATGCACTCGTGTTTGGCGCTACATTGTGACGTCACGTAAACAATACTTTAAATGTCTGTACAGCGTTAACGACTGAATAAAAGATATTGGTGTTCGAATTCATTTTCTTAGTTAGACCATTTTCTTTCATTCTAGATAGTTTTCACAACAAAATTCGACAAAAAATTGTTTTTATTTATCACATTTTTCAAACAAAATGGCGCCTTCAATGTGAAAAAATACACAGGGAGATAATAAGAACGGCGAGTGCATTGTTGTAGATAATTAGGGCCTTCTTTGTTTATATATAGAAACATTTAAGATAGTGTGATTATAGGTATTTTTTGCCAAATAAATTTCTTTACAAAAAAAAAACGGTGACAGGATAAATAGAATAATAGATTGGTTGCCGTGGATGGAGAAAGTTTATTCTGGCTCTGCTCCGGAATTTATTGGGTTCGCCTTCGGGCACCCAATAAATTCCTCCGCCTCGCCAGATAAACTTTCTCCATCCACGGCACCAACCTATTATTCTCTATATATTATCGCCATTTATAACCGGGGAATATCGTTTTTGAATAATTTGATTTTTTACGTTTCAAAACAATCTTATGTTGAACACCTTAGTTATTATGAATAAATTATTAACGATGAACAGATGTACATTTACCATGTAATATGAAATGAGTATGAAGCTTACAAGATATCCTAGAATTAGGAAATCCTCCGTTTGTAGGTGCACGTTTCTCAATCTTGAAAAGTGCAAGATCAACTCCTGGTTTGTCGTTTCCCCCATCTGTGTACGTAGCTTGCTTAAGCTTTCCTACTTCATAATCAGGTCCCTGTCTCCCTTCGTTAAGTTTAGGTTGATATATCATGACATCGAAATCCTCTTCCGTCTGTGTTGTTTTTTCCTTGAACAAATTGAATTTCGTGTCATCCAAAACAACATGAGCGCAAGTGATCCCACAAAGACCATACTCAGGATGTTCTACAAACCCCCCAAAGTCCCCCATTTCCCCGGAGATGGAAAAAGTAATTTTAAAACCCCTCTTTAATTTGTTTGTACCTATCGACTTTGCCCAAAACAAACTCCCCCTTCCCTTTTACGTGCCAGGAATACCCTTAAAATTTTGTCGGAAAAGGGTTTTCGTCAGTGGATAATTCTTTTACCAGAAAATTAAACGATGCAGGGAGTTGTTGTTTCTTTGTTCCGAAAAGTTTAGATGATCCCCGGTGATTGAGAAAAAAAATTTGTGGGGCGCTCGTTTCCCAAGTGCTTGTCTGTTTCCCCAATTTTAGCGAGTCTTTTCTCTGTTAAAGGATTGTCTTTTTTTTGCAAAAGTTAAGGGTTTCGTTGAAAAGCTTGTTTATTTTGTAAATTTTGTTTCCCCTTTTAATTGGGGTTTTTTTTCCGCTTTCAGTAAATACAAGAAATATAACTGTTTCGTCATTTTCTTTTCTATAAGCTGCTTCGACATGAGCAATGTGTTCTGATTTACTCTTTATTACTTTACAAATTTTTCTGCATTCATCATGTAATTTTGGTGACGTTTTACCTTCTTCTCGGAAAAGTCTGTTTAGGTCAACGTTATCCAAAGTACTGTCATCTTGCGAGTCGTTTGATTTGATTTCATTATCTGGAGAGATTGAATCTTTATAATCATAAAATCTTTACAGACAGTAGTCTTTTATTTTTTAGAAATTTCTTTATAAGAAAAACACTTTGTGTATTTTTTTTTGGGGGGTATAAAAATATCTAATTATTGATTTATTGCCCTTTTTCAAAATTTTTGACGATTGCTTTTAAATTTTTTTTTTTATGAAATTTCAAAATTTTTTACCCAATTTTTTTTTTTGAAGATGTTTTAGATAAAAACCCCAATGTTTAAAGAAAATCGACTAAGAAAAAATGCAGTAAGATTCTAAAAAAATTTAAATTTAAATGCAAAGATTCATACGATTAAAAAACTGATTTTGCAAAAATTAATTTACCTTAAATTCTAACAACATAACTAATGCAATAAGGCTATTTGTGCATTTTCTTATTTTGGGTTTTAGTACTTACAAATCGTTTTGACCCTGTATATTCTTTTTTGTATAAATGACATTATGTTTTTTTTCTTTATTGTTGCGTGAAAACAATTTTTAAAAAGACTGCCGTTAAAAATTGTTCATTTTTAAAGAAAAATGTTAAAAATAAGAAAAAATCAAAGTAAAAAAAAATCTTCTTTTGATATAAAAAGGTGTCTGTCCCTCTCTTTTATAAACTAACCATTTATAGTAAATTTCGAGGGATATTTACAAAAAAATTCCTTGGGCACCGTGAGTTTTATTTATCGTTCATGCAATGTTAATTATAAAATGAAAGTAATTGTTACAAAATGTAAACGTATTAGATTTAATCCGTTCACCCTTCTTTTACACTTGGATGGGCATAATGTCACTTTATCTTCACAATATTTTATTTTAAAACTCGTTTTTAAATTTTGACATACGTTGATTTTCTATCAGTTAGAACTCTCAAAACCATTGCAAATTTTCAATATTAAATTTGAACAATTTTCGTATCATAAGCTGATCACACCAGATCGAAATTCATTCATTATGAACATTTTAGTGCTACAACTAGGTTAAATCTGAATTCAGAATATAGAAATTTCCATTTACAAAATGAACGAGATATCATTGATTTTTCTGCAAAAATATGAATGGTATTTATATCATAATTAAAGATGAAGTACGTGATATGATTAAATAGTAGTAAATAACAAAATATGTGTTCGAGTACATATCTGATAACTTAATGATATCTTTATTTAAATGAGATGTAACATTTGATCCATAATATTTCATTTAGCAATCGCTTGCAAAATAACATACGAATCACAGTTTAAAAACCTACAACTTAAGACCATACTTACTTCGTATTGGTGCAATGCAATTTGGGTTGTCCTTTTCTTCTTCTGACGGTTTGTTCTCATAACATACAGTCGTCGTTGATGGCTATAAACATACACATGTACATATAAAAGCTTAATTTTATGAAAGGAAAAAAAGCCTATAAATATTCGTTCAATAACACATAATCATACTTTCTATTTTGTGTTATCTTGTAAGAACATCGGCACCTTCAACTAATTAACTGTTTATGGGTGCAAGTTATGTTAAATTTAAATGTTTTCATTGAATTTGTCTTTAAAAATGACTTCCCTAAGGAACAATAGTTGCATTTTGTTAAATAAAAGACGAAAAAATAAGTATTGACCAACTTTTTTTGTCTCTAGAGTTGATTTGCCTTTGTTTTGTTTTTTCGGTTTTTCATACTTCCGCTTTTTTATCTGTTCTTTTGTTGTAGCTGAAGATAAAATCGAAAATGTTGAATTGAAATTGCAAACGTTAGATAATTTGGAAAAGTAAGATGAGGTTATGAACAAATGCCGTCGATTGATACCATTACTAAAGAAAACTAAGGATGCGGCATCAGAAAGCCTGGATATCTTACGATACTCTGTTTATTGACGGAAAACCTGAAAAGGTTGACTAAGATTTAGTGGAGGATGGCCCAACAAATATGGAAATTTGTGTATGGAACTGCAATAGACTTACCGAAAATAAACTAAATGATACTATCATTTTTACAGAATCTTCGACCGATGAAAATTCAAAGTTAGATATTGATAAATTTACGTGTTACAGTTATTTTTATAATTTCAGACACAGACACACAGACACACACACACAGACACAAAAAAAAAGAAAAAAAAAGAACAAAACAAAAACAAACTTGTGTATATTCGCAATTCTATTAAATCTGGTGTTAAGATAGTAGACAACCTTTATGATACAATTCTTTACAAGCTAGATAAACTGTTTTTTTTATTTCATTGATGTTGTTTATATAAGTGGCGTTTATGTATGGTCGGCTGAGTCACATATATGTAATATTATCTAAAAATCTTTTTGATATAGTTTGACAAGATGTTTTTATTTCTAAAGAAATAAGTACAGTTTTGCTTGCAGGTGATTGGAACTGTAGAGTTGGAAACAAAAATGATTGTATTTTGTGTGATCAGGATATTCAAAAAAATGATTGCAAAAATTATGACCCCGATAAACCAATAGTACGGGCCTCTTTCGATACTGTATGTAACACAAGGGGTATTAAGTTGCTCGATTTTGTGTAAGTCAGCGTTTATGCGATAAGCTTACGATAAATTAGGTGATGATTTTGCCACAGGCTCGTACACATATTATTGTCGTCAGACGTGCAGTACGCTATATTATCGCTTGTTACAAGAAAAACATTTGAGTATAGCGTTTGAGCAGTCGAATGATAGGAAAACTAATGCCCTCAGTAGAATGTAATGGACGGTAGGGGGCGTTATTATAAAATTTATGCACGTGGAAAGTGTAGATAATTTTTATGTTATTGTCATTCAGCTTTGGACATTCGGACGGTGTTTTTGTTTTTGTATGCAAAATTCTGGTGGATTACATACAGGTCGCATATATGTTGAATATGCAGATGTATTATAGTATTGTCAGGAATTAAGAACCTTTTAGTGGGATATACAAGATTACTACTTTAAGAAAGATGTGTGATTCATGAATATGAATTTGAATGCTTAAATTAAAGTATTTAAGTTTTGTTACTTCACATTGAATCGGTAAATGTACATGATGTATGAACTGCATGCGGTGATATGTATTGTTTATATATGTAATTGTATTAGAAAGAATAGAAGTATATTCTTTTTTTTTCTTTTTTTTATAACTTATTTTTTTTCTCAGTGATCATACAGTAATACAGTGTACATAACATATGATAAACTTCTGTCCAGATAATACAAAAGCATGGTCACAAAGAGTTGTTTTTTTCACACCCAAACACACGAACGCACACACATCCGCACCCATACACCCACATTTCCAACAGGATTTATAACTATACATATTTCGAACATAACGCACACACAAAACAGCACACACAAAACAGCACACATACATTTCGGGTACCATCGGCAATACGATACTCGTATAAGTGTAACCTAATATTTGAACAAAAAGAAAAAGGGTAAAAGTAAAGGGGGTGAACAATTAATACAAAAGAACAAGAAAAAAACAAAACAAAAGATACATCAACAGTTTTTGACTGCTTCTAAACATAATTGTTTTTTATTCATGTAAGTAAGGTATTTTCATATGTTATTATATTCGTATCTGGGAAAATTCTATTCCATTTTTGAAAATGAGTTTCCAGTTTATCTCGATTAAATGCAATACATTTTTCAATACATAGTCTGCTCCGAAAATAATGTAAAAATAAGTTAAATTGTGGTGTGCGTTTTCCAATTTTGCAACTATATAATTATGTAATATTTTGTCACCAAAAGAATAAAGTGTTTTTGCATCTTTTTGTGTATCTGTGCTTGTAATTAAATGACATATTGTTTTCAAATTAATTTTTATAATAATATTTCTTCTTTTGAAATATTCTATTAAATTCCTCCAAAAAAGTTGCGTGTAAGAACATTGCCATAAGAGGTGTTCAATAGATTCAATATCCATTGCACAAAAATCACAAAGACTCGATGAAGAAATGTTTTGTTTTAGAAGTATATTCAGTCGACTGTTTCATACGCTTAAACTCAAATACAGTATACATGTATGTATTTTTCTATAAGTCTGTTTTTTGTGTTTTTGTCTTAAAAAAGGTCCAGGTTTGGTTGTCAAAAGTTAAGGTCAAAGTCTATTTGTCCGTCTGATACCGTCGTTTTAAAGGTTGACTCTATTACCCATCAAACACATGGCGTTAAAATAACGTCGGATTACCGTTAGAGTTTGGTCACGACGTCGGCGACCAAAATACGACGTAAATCTGACGTCCAAAAACCGATGTGTATTACACGTTTCTTTTTGACATCGTACTAACGTCAGGTTCTGGTCGGTGTCCTGACGGTAGGTAAAAAATTAACAAAAAAATCCTTATTCGCTGTTGTAATCATTTTAACTTTTTTTCAAGACCAAGTGAGCGGTGCCGCAACCTAATAAAACATATAGGTGGTGCTGTATATAGGCAAGTTACATGTGTTATTGTTATGAAATCTATTTATAGCCACAGATCTGTTTACGAGTTCCAATCATTTAACGTTATAATATCATCATTTGTGGTACATTATATGTATCAAAATCACAAGTTTTTAAAAGTGCTTTAACATTTAATCGTAGTGACAGAAAAAAGAAATAAAACATAATTATAATTCGAATCTACATCCACGTGGATGGAAAATTCAAATTCGTAGGCGTTTCGTACGTTTTGGCGGTCAGTCAGGAATCAGGATGCATTGATAAAGTGAATATTCTAGATTTTCTTGAACAAAAAGGTCAGTTCAATTCATTTAAATTATTTCTACTTTGTATTTGATAAATAATCGCATGATTATCATTATTTGAACAGTTGAAGCAAAATGTCACACAAATTCGCGATAATGTTTGATAATAAATCATTTCAAATTTGGCATGTTTTAACTCTGCTTGTGAAGAGTTTATAATGTGCCTCTGTTCTACCAAAGAGAATGCTTAGTTTTCATATTCTTGTTAAACTGTGATGTTTTTGTCAGTTAAACTCTGAGAATTGAGAATGAATTTATACGATTTCCAGCAATTCTGACCAAGACGTTTCGTCCCAAATAACCCAAGACGTTTCTTTCCCAGACATTTCGGCATTTTCCCAATCGGCCCATTCTTTTATCATTATCAGAATAAATCTTACCTTAATGTGTTTTACACCAGATTTTAATATCATTCTAAAAAATGAACGGGAAATAAATGAAAGAGCGAATTGATTGATTATCTAATTATGCATTTGTAATATAGAATGAGGCGTCATTTAATCATTAGTAGGAAAAATGTAACAAAACAATCAAAACAGAACTTAAACTTTTTAACAAAACATAGTACATAAACATACATTTATTATCAACAATTTTTAACAATCTTTAATTTGAAACTATGAAGAATTTAAGACTTGCGTTTACAACTGTTCTATTTCAAAAGTAGAATGTACATTAGTTAGAATATAATTTTCTTTTCAGATCGTTGAAGTGTTGAACATGCTCTCAAAGGTCGGAGGGACAGAAATACGTGATAACGTAAAAAGAAACATGGGAAAGTAAGATTTTTTGTAAATTTTATCACATACTATAATCCAGCGGTCTTTTAAATGTTTACTTTTATTTTTTGTTAAAGCTCACTTCTAAAAAGCTAGCAAAGTTGTTCATTAAGTAAATAGATAGATAGATTTATTTCGGCAAAGGAAGCATATACATAGTTGACAATATAACATAGGATAAAATAATGAGCATTATTAAATACTATATCACATACGAGTAAAACTATTACATGCTCACCAAAACCAAGGATAACACAAAAAAGGGCAAAAAAGCTCTTATTTCCATTGTGGTCCTTTGTATTGGCGGCATGACATAGAGAGGCAAACCTAAATATAATCATGTTCAAAAATACTAATAAATCATAAAAATGTTTATCACAGTCAAATCTTGATTTAATGATACTCCTGTTTACAGCTAGGATTTAAAACACATTACTAAAATTGTAATAAGATAAATAGCAGACATTAAGACAATTTAAAATCCTGAGCCGAAATATGTAAAAACATGTTTAAAATTTTTTTTAAATACTGTTCAGAAGATGACTTTTGATGGCAACCTTAAAACTTTGTAACCTGTCAATCTCCGTTAACTTTATAGGTAAATCATTTCATAATTTAATACCAGAGAAAGCAAAGGATTTAGAACCCTGTCCTTTGACCTTAGGTAGGCAATATCCACCCTTTTGACTAAGTCTTGTACTATAATTATGAATGGAATCTTGTGGAATAAAGTGTTCAGACATGTAATCCAGAGATAGGCCATTTTTTATCTTAAAAACATGACACAACATTATCTGTTCAACTCTTTTGTGGACCGGTAACCAGTTAAGGGACTTAAAGTGGGATGGGTCAATGTGGGCTCTGGAGTCCAAGTCAAGTACAAATCTCATTATTTTGTTTTGACAAGTTTGTAACTTATTTTTTAAAGACTGTGTCAAGCTATTATACCAAACAGAGCATGCGTAATCATAGTGACACTGAATAAGAGACATAACCAGAAGTTTCTTGGTATGCTGAGTAAGAAACTCTTTCTTGCGGTAAAGAAATTTTAACCGAGAGATACCTTTCAAAATTTCTAAAGGGCAGATAACCATGAAAAATAGTTTTGCTTGTTATTTTTCAAATGAAAATGATATCACAAACGCCATTGGACATTTACATATCCTCCGGACAAACGAGGGGTGGTGAGAGAAGGTCATAAATCTAAAAGCATAACACCTCCAAATCGTGCTAATTCTCGTGGATATTTAAAAGTATAACTTTGTGAAGTAACTAAAAGGAAGTAATTCATATGTTAGTGACAATTATCAAAAGGAGGTCAAATATTAAAAAATAGCACTAAATGTTTTAGTAATGTTGTAGAAATATAGTTAAAATACTGAAAATCTGTCATTAATTGTTTGAAACATTATTATCCGAATCTTTTAACTTTTCTTAAAATTATATTTTCATTATTTTGTTTGATAGGCAAACTTTGATTGCAATGTACCGGTCCTACTAAACACTGCTAAGGACCGCTAAGGAGCCACAAAG